TCAATGTAATATCTCTGACTCGTATCCGGGTTGGGATACGGGTTGGGGGTGTTACACCAACCAAAGTTATTAGTTTAGTAGTTGCATGTTTTAGACTTGTGTCGCTAGACATTTCATTCAATGAATACTTATAGTATAACTTAGTTATTAGTGAGGCACTAAGCTCGTAAGCTCCTCATTCAGAATGTGTTTCCTTACACAGGTTCTTAGGGGCAAATCGTGGGGAGTTATAGTCACCATATATTCCAGTGCAACATACCAGATTTCGAAAGACCTTCAGAGTACGTCTTGAGTCATCTTTAGAGGGCATGTACTATTATGGACCCTTTTGTATTCAGTCGTAACTTTATTTGGTACTCAATATTTGTATTTTGTGGATGTATTTTGGGAGTTCCTAATCTATTTGTAAACACATATTATTATCACGTTTTATTTTATCACTATAGATGATTTATTTATCAGTAAATTATAAGTAGCTTTCAAGAAATTTTTGGGTTACTATTTTGGTAGTCCCATGTAACATTGTAATCTATGGATCTTCGGGTCGAACTGAATTAGGTGTTATAGATTTTATGGGTACTCGAACTTAACAGGTTAGGACATGGGCCGACATTTTAGTATCTGAATTTTCTGGATACCCAAAAATGCGGGTACCCAGATTTGAACACCCCTACCTATAATTTTGAATCATAATGCTTTGAATTTTATTAGAAAATTTTAAAATGTGACAACAAAAAATGTTGTTCTATTTGATGATGTTGAATCTGTCCAAATTTTTAAAAGACGACTCTTCTATTATTAGAGAAGACAAGGTGGATGTTACTGTCACCTTCAATACTGTCAAAGCATGGAAGCAATATGACTTTCTATGCTCTAATTACATCTTGAATGATTTGTCGAGTGCACTTTATAATGTGATTGAAAAAAAGAGAGGAATTATGAGAATTATTAGACCATAAATACAAAAATGAAGATGGTGGTGCTAAAAAAACTCAGTTGTCAAGTTTTAAAACTTTGTAATGGTTAATTCTAAAATTATTGTGAATCTGGTGCAAGAATATCAACTGATCATTCGTGATATTCTTGTAGGATGGATGATTATAAATGAATCATCAAATAGTAGTAATTATTGAAAAGCTTCCCACTGCTTGGAATAACTTCAACAACTATCTTAAGCTCAAGAGAAAGAAAATGACGGTAGAAGATTTGATTGTGAGACTAAAGATTGAAGAAGGCTATCGAAGTGCGATTAAAAAAACTAAACAAAGTTGTTAATCCTAAGATTGTCAAGGCAAACACTATAGAAGTTAAGATGACTTCAAGAAAAGAAAACAATCTCCTATTGAGTCCAAATTAGGACCAAGAGACTATGTTTTCAAAAAGTAAAAAAAAAATCTTATATAAATTCTTTAATTGAAATAAGATGGGGCATATATCATCTCATTATAAACTTTCAAAGTGGTTCAGAATAAATGATGTTAATATTATGATAAAAATTTTTAAGAAAATATCTGATTTTGATCTATATATTGTCGAAAGTTCTGTTGTGCGACGCCTAAAAACGGCTAAAAAACGTCGTGACCGGTTAAAATTTAGACCGGTTATGTTATATCATTTAACCGGAAATATTATCAAGTACAATAACATATTAGGTAGCGCTTATATAATTTAATAGGTAGCGCTTTTATAATAAAATAGGCATTTAACCAGAAATATTATCAAGTACAATAACAAATTAGGTAGTTCTTATATAATGTAATAGGTAGCGCTTATATTGACCTATTTTCTCATAAAACCGGTAAATTTAAACCGGTTACATTATAAATTGACCTATTACATTATAAATATCGGTTTCGATGTTTTCGGGATCGATACAATTTTAAATGTATCGACACTTTATGCGTGCAACTCGTTTGTGCTTTATTTTGGAAAAAAGTATCGACACATATTTAAAGAGTGTCGACACATATTTAAAGAGTGTCGATACATAATGTAGACCTATTTGCTAATTAACCGGTATATTTTAACTGGTTACATTGTAAATTTACTTGTTACATAATAATTATCGATTTCGATGTTTCGAGGATCGATACTTTTTACAAATATATCGACACTTTATGCGTACACCTCGTTTGCCATTCATTTTGGAAAAATGTATCGACACAAATTAAAAAAGTATCGATAGTTTATGTTGACCTATTCTCTCATGAACCCGGTATATTTCTACCGGTTACATTGGAAATTTACCTATTATATTATAATTATCGGTCTCTTTGATTTTGGGATCGATAATTGTTATAAATGTACCGACACAAAATCTAACAGTGTCGATACTTTATGTTAACATGTTTTATAATTAAATGATATATGTATACTGGTTACATTGTTAATTTACCTATTACATTATAATTATTTGTCATTAAAATAGTCTAATTTTACCACATACATTGTAATTTTACCTATTACTTTAAAGTTATTAAATTCTATAGTTATTGTACATACCTGAATATGTCCTACAAATTTAATGTTGTACCCACCCTTCAACTACCACCACTACCAATACCACATCCTATTGAAAGCACCACTAAAACATGTTGTTCAATGAACCTTTACTTACATACATCTCTATCAACTCCTGTTGGGACCACTGAAATTGCACAATAAAATTTTTGCCATGAAACATACTGATGCAGACAATGTTAAGCCAACCGAGGAATGCCATAAAGTACATAATGTTGATGAATCTGACATATTGGTTGGTAAGCTCTTCTCTTCATGTGATCAAGCTTGGTATTTTTATAAGGAATTCGCGTGGGAACATGGGTTTAGTGCACGTCGGGGAACAACACGGCTTGACATGGAAGGGAATGTGAAGACACAAGAATTTTGTTGTTCCAAAGAATCGTTTCGAGGATCAAAAGTCATACCGTTGATTGTCAACGTGCTAAAATGCCAATCACATGAACAGAATGCAAGGCTAGAATCGTAGTTACAACAACAAATACAAACGATCAGTGGGTTATAAGTAAGTGTTATCAGAAACATAATCATGCATTGTGCACACCTGCTATGACACCATTTATGTATTCTAATAGAGCTGTAAGTAAGGCTGATATCGATGAGGCAACAACATTGAAAGAGGTCGGTGTTGGCACATCACAAGTAATGAACTAATTAACGCAGCATGCATGGGGCTATCATAATGTTGGAGTTACACATAAAGACCTCTACAATGCGCTTCAAAGAGGCAAAGCAAAGGAAATAGTCGATGGGGATGTGAATGCGCTTATTGCTTACTTTGATTATAAGAAACATGATGATCCCGGGTTTTTTGTGACATACTCGGTAGACGAATCAGGAGCGTTGCATAATCTTATTTGGTTGGATTTTACATTGAGATCAGATTACATATGCTTCGGTGATGTAATTGCGTTCGACACAACATACAAAGATAATTTGTATGGTCGACCAATTATGCCTATTGTCGGTGTCAATCATCACCATAACACAATTGTGTTTACTACTGCCATAATCGCTGACACAATTACATAAGTGTCGATATTTTTATGTGAAGTGTCGATACTTTCGATAGGATATTTACCTATTTCTTTGAAAGTGTCGATACTTTTTTACGTTTACTTATTAAAGTACCGACACTTTCAACATAACCGGTAGCGCTTTATCGGTTTTGTCATTTCGATACCGGTTTTGTCTTATTTTTACCTATTATATTGTTATGGATCGATATATTTTCATAAAGTATCGACACTTTTTAGGCGCTATAACTTCTTCTCTTTTAAATTACGAAAGTGTCGATATTTATATTAATTTATCGATACTTTCAATATATCCGATAGCTTTTTACCGGTTTTATCATTTCGAGACTTGTTTTGTCATATTCTTACCTGTTATATTGCTATGGATCGATACATTTGTATAAAGTATCGACACTTTATAGGCGTTATAACTTCTTCTCTTTTAAATTCAAAAAGTGTCGATACTTATATTAACGTATCGACACTTTCAATATATCCGGTAGCTCTTTACCGGTTTTATCATTTCGTGACCGGTTTTGTCATACTTATACATGTTATATTGTTATAGATCGATACGTTTTTATAAAGTATCGATACTTTATAGGCGCTATTATTTCTTCTCTTTTAAATTCCAAAAGTGTCGATATTTATTTAAATCTAATCGATACTTTCGATATATCTAGTAGCGGTTTACCGGTTTTATCATAATGAAACCGGTTTTATCATATTTTTACCTGTTATATTGCTATGGAGCGATACATTTTTCATTTGTATCGACACAAACCGTTAAGCTAAGTTTGTCGATTGCTAAATTTTTTAATATTTTATTCATGATTTCCACATACAACATTGTTATTACTCGATATTTCTGGTAACGCTAAATCAAATTTATTAAATATATTATAATATATCCAATAACGTTATATATTAACCGTATATTAACTCGCCTTCCTGAAATAACCTCATATATTATGGACTCTGAAATCAATTTAGTTGACAACGACTCTTTTATAGAGTTGTTTACTAGTGAAAAAAGGAAAAAAAAACCTTTATACAAGCAACATTCCAATTTACATAAATTAAAGAATATTTATCTAATAAAATTATCCACCCACAGATCACATCACCTAATAAAGAATTTGCTATTATATATAAAATATCGATTATTAAGACCTTGTTATAATATAATAAAATCAATTCATTATTAGCTAAAATAAAATAAAGTGACCAAAGAAAGGACAAACCGAAAGACAGAGAAAGTCTTCTGATTTCTGTTCTGTTTCTTATCTGTCCCTTCCAAAGTCGTAGACGGCTAGAAGGTATTTACTATAGTCCATAGATAGTATATTTACTTTTCTTTTAAATAAAACTAGGTATAACTATGGCAGTTAACTTCAATAACAAATCTTAATGTCGTCTCGGTAAAAGGTAATAAATTAATTAATCGTTTTAATTAAACACCATCGCCTCCATCTTTCACTCGGTTTATCTCTACAGTTCCCAAAAAGACCCATTCTTCACTCTATGGTTCAGCCCCTACCCCAAAGGTATCTCTTTCTTCTTGCAATCTGTCGGCTACCCATTTCTGCAAATCATCCAACTTTCCTGCCCAGATGATCAAGTTCTGATTTTTTTTTCATGCAAGTTTTTTTTCTGGTTTCTTTTAAATAGCTTTCAGTATCTTTGTTTTCTGGGATTTTCTTTCGAAGTGTAGCTGTTCATATTCGTTCCCTTTTTTAGGGTTTCTCCTAGTCTTCTCAGCTCATCTTTTAGGGTTTTAAACAAGGAAAGTGGGTTTTAGGCTTAGCCTCCAGATTTGTGCTGACGAGTAAGTGTCTATATTTTTTGAATTTATTTGATAGCCCGGTTCTTTTGGATGCCCTCAATGTCTGAAATGGGCATATTTTCCTCAAGGTTTCTTTTTTGTATAATGACCATTTCAATGTTCCTTTTGATCCTTTCTTCCGTGTTCCTTCTGCAATTTGGCAATACATCTCTTTTACCTCGATCCGTTTTCAAATTGATTCTTGTCAATGGCACTGTTTTCTTGAAATCAAATGTTAAAAATGAGCTAAAATTACCTTTCTTCTCATCTGAGTCTGCACAAGTTGATGCTCAGGCCCCAGTGAGAAAGGGAGATTCGACATGTCATAAGCCGAATTATGGGAAGGAAATTTGCTTTTCTAGGCAGCGAAATATAGAGTCCTGCAATGCCGATCAAGCTCTTTTAAGGGTGTATATGTATGACTTGCCTTCTGAATTTCACTTTAGGTTATTGGGTTGGAAAGGAAAATCGAATCAGGTTTGGCCGGAGGTAAACGATCCGAGTAGAATTCCAGCGTACCCTGGAGGGTTGAATTTGCAGCATAGCATGGAGTACTGGCTCACCCTTGATCTTCTATCTTCGAACACACCGAGTGTGGTCAGACCTTGTGCTGCAATCAGAGTTACAAATTCGAGTCAAGCTGACATAATTTTTGTGCCATTCTTTGCATCTCTCAGTTACAATCGGCATTCCAAACTTCGAGGAAAGGAGAAAGTTAGTGTTAATAAATTGCTGCAGGATAAATTAGTTAAGTTCCTGACCGCACAGAGTGAATGGAAGCGATTCGGGGGGAAGGACCACTTAATTGTGGCCCACCATCCGAATAGCATGTTGGATGCAAGAAGGAAAGTCGGTTCTGCTATGTTTGTGCTTGCAGATTTCGGGAGATACCCTGCTGAAATAGCAAACATTGAGAAGGATGTAATTGCTCCTTACAGGCATGTCGTGAAGACAATTCCAAGTGTTGATTCGGCCCCATTTGAGAAACGCCCGACACTGGTCTTTTTCCAAGGAGCGATATACAGGAAAGATGTAAGCTTCCCTCCCCTTTATGAATTGATTTATCTACATGTTTGTTGCTTTTTGCCGCATTGCCTTGCAATTGAAACCGCTGCTATGTATCCATACATGTATGAAGTATTAAGGCACATTAAACATCAACTGCTGATAGGTGAATTTTGGCACTGTATAATATTCTTTTATCGCTTTGAAGAAAGTTGAAGTTCTCCATGTGCTATTTCTCTTCTAAGTTATATGATTTGTTCGGAGATAGGTGATTATTTACTCTTTTGTACCCAAATATTTTGAAATCTTTAAAACCATTTGTATAGAGGAGACCAATTGGATTTTGGGAAAGGACAGAGTGAGAGCAGTTAGATCGAGAATTGGGCCCAGGATTCTTGGAAGGTCAGATGATGATCGGAAGAGTATCCTAAATCAGATAGTGCAGCTTTATCTGCCAGCTCAAATGGTCATAGCAGACTTATCTGAGAAAAGCTTCCTTTGTGCCTTAGGATACATTAGTTATAGACAGGGTACTCCGTTACTCCTGTTGCTTAAAAAGATTTCGTTTCAGCTTCAGGATAATGAATTCGTAGGTACATCAAAGGTCAAGTTCAGTTCTATCGTACCCCAAAAAATTTCATATTCGTAGGCCTAATATAAGTGTATTGGAAAATATTTGAAATCTTGTGTCATTTAAACACTGAAGATGAAACTTTTAATTTTTTTTTCATGGTAAATAAAATCAAAATGCTAGCCACAAAGTGTGTGTATGTGTGTAGGGAAGAACTGCCATGGTTCTATTTATAATGATTTCCATTGCCATTTTAGTTTTTGTTTCTATTCTCCCAAATCAAACCGGTAGTAACAATTGTTGTTGCACTTTCTCACCAATTGCATTGGAGTCTGAACTTCTCATATTGAAATGTGCGTGTTATAAGTATAATTTTGGGTGTGGAATTTTTATTCAGGGAGGTGCTATTCGGCAAGAACTTTATTACCTTCTCAAAGACGAGAAAGATGTACACTTTGCATTTGGCACCATTCAAGGGAATGGAGTCAGCCAAGCCGGGCACGGGATGGCATCATCCAAATTCTGCCTCAATATTGCCGGTGATACGCCTTCTTCGAACCGTTTGTTTGATGCTATTGTCAGCCATTGCATTCCTGTTATTATAAGTGATGAGATTGAGATGCCATTTGAAGATGTTATCGACTACTCAGAAATTTGCATTTTCATTCGTGCATCTGATGCCGTGAAGAAGGGATATCTACTAAACCTTCTCAGAGGAATTACGAAAGATCAGTGGACCAAGATGTGGGAAAAACTGAAGGAGACTGTTCGACATTTTCAGTATCAGTACCCGTCCCAGCCTTGCGATGCTGTTGATATGATTTGGGAGGCAGTTGCACAGAAGGTTTCTTCTGTACGATTAAGAATTCACAGGGAGAGCAGATATTACAGATCAGAGCGGATAAACTGAGCACCTGGTCCAATGATTGAGATGTTGTTAACCTTGCATTTTATGGAAATCAACCGATTTACAGCTTGTTGTACATTTAAAAGAAAAACTTTAAAATGAAAAACGAACTTGTTTTTGTTGAATATCTATGATTCCTGCTGAGCATTGTAGTATAATTTATAGGATCCTACTGCTTCTGAGTTAGGGCTGTAATCAAGCTGAGCTGAGCACAAACGGTGAAGTTCAAACTTGAGTTTAATTTGATATTTGCTGCTCGAAATTTGGTTCGAGCTCGGTTTGAATATTATTATAGAAAGTAGAAACTTGAGTTCGTCTTTGAACTATTTGAGCTGAATTGGCTATCCAACATTGGTTATTAGAATTGCATAAGAATGTACGACATCATTACGTTTAATATTATATACAAAATGTCTCAAAACTGTAATCAAATTAAGCTGAGAAAATCCTCAGGGGAAAAAGAAAAATCTAGGGAGGAAAACAATTGTGTATTGTTCTATTGGTTAGGAGTAGGAGCCTAGATTTATACAACATGGAGAGAAAAGCATGGCCAAAGTAAAAACTTGGAAAATATGGAAGAAAATCCAACAAAAAATATCTGAGAAACCAGAAAATCCATCAACAGACAGCCTCACCATTTGTCTGAAATTCAAGAAAACAAAGCTTCAGATGTGTTTCAACATCTGTTGTGAATGGGATCCGATCCTTTCTTTACTCTTCTTTTGTTCGACTGATTCGGATCAAACACCAGTGAAGGCGCAGGTGCCAAGTTTTGTCTGGTTTTCAAAGAATCCAATGCAGCTGCCTCTAGAATCCTTGAATACTTCCCCACAAATGGTCTTACTCTTAGTGGAAGATCAATGCTCGTCAGACCAGCTACAATGGGAGTCTGAAATACCAACAAACCAGAACAATGAACCCCTTAGGAACTGCAAAAACCATGTCTGTAGCTCAAACAAGAGAGAAAAAATACAAAACACGAGATATGTTCGTGTGAGACAGTAAGTACCAAGCTAGTTCCTATACCTGATATCTGCCAACACTGAAGCTCAAGTCCATCTTTTATGGGATTCAGAAGACTGAATGCATAAAGCAGGCCAGAATGACCTCGAACTATGTTGCTTCCATTATTCATTTTTCTTAAAATATCTTTATCTGGCACATACTCGGACATGAAGTCGAGGAATATAAAGTTACAAGACAGGCTGACACTTCGGCTTGTAGGGAAGTTTTAGATTCATGCTAATCATAAGCATGCCATAGAAGCAATATGAAAAGGCTGAATTAGAAGATTCTTTGACAGGTTTGAACATAAAAAGTTATAGTTGGAAGCACTATTCTAGGGACGACAAGTATCCTTTTTCATTTTGCTTTCACTACCATTTGCCTTAAACTCCTTTTTTTTTATCAAACAAAGACCAATCTCTGCCCACTTTGCCACATCATCCGACCATTCTGGTTTGCACTTGATCCATGTCAGCAACTATGCTTGGCTAATTAAAAAAAGAACAGTAAAGAAGCATTAAAAGTAGATATGTTGGGGAAAGGGAAGGAAGGGATGAAGAAAAGCAACTACAAGAAACCAAAAAAAAAATAGAACACCATTCTCTTGCTTTATGCTAAACCTTAACTTTAGAATTCCAAGCTCTTCTCTTTATGCAACCCCAAAAAACAAAATCAGATTCTTGGTTCATTGTGCTTAATGGGTTTGCTTTATGTTTTCTTTGGCTTTCCCAACTCTCTTATCCCTCCCTCCATTCAAAATTCCAAACAATACGAGTGTTTGATCAGGTAGTACATACGATCGTATCGATTGGTAATGTTGTTATTATTCAGCAATATTAAGAGCGATCTTCTAATTTATTGAACTTTTAAAATTCAAGAAATTATGCACGAATTCAGTGGTTAACGGATTTTATATTATCCTTTAAAATTTCAGGTTCAAGCACCATCTTTATTGTTAAATGGTGGTCTTTAAACATATACTTGAGGAATTTTTATTTTAAAAAGTAATTTCTTTCTTCCTTTATTAATCTACTACATTAGTAATAAGTAAATTATTGAAACTTAAAATATTTTTTCATACATTTATAACAACATTAAACATTTCATACATATATTAAATAATTATTGAACTTAAACAGTATTTAAACCAGCAGATGATGAAAAGAAGAGCAATCAACTGCTTACTCATCTGCACATACACGATACATTAAGGAAAAACATCTCTTGGACTATGACAAGATTGAATATGTCAGACATGAACCGATAAACAAGGATATCGGAGAACGTTCAGAATCATATTTCCGTGATACCTTCAGCAATCCGACAGTTTTGAATGAAGCAATGAGTTTCAAAGATTTATGTACAAACAAAAACACCGAAATTAGAGATATCTTCAAGGGTTTCTAAATAACAATTGCAAGTACAACATAATAAATGCAAGGGACATAAACCGCATCGATTTAATTTACTGCACTTTGTTACTGACCTACCCTTTTCACCGGAGAAACAGACAGTCACATTATTGAAGTGGCTCCTGATGAGGAATTGCAGAAGGTCCTGATGCTACAGTGAAATGTGCACCCTGCCGTTGCCCTGCCTGAATCATAAATGCAACTTCAGTTGCTGCAAGAGCTGCTGCATCCTGTTTCGATACCGAAAGAATGTGTTTATTACCAAAAGAAACTAAGTGATATATAGTGTAACAAACAACTTGAACCAGTAACAACAGGATAAAACAGTTTAGTTTTTGTTTATCAAAACTACATGAACACAACTAGTAGGTAGTGACAGGATTATCATAAATGGGAAGCTTCCAAGTTTTCAACCCAAGTTTGGCTTCTAATGAATAAAATTACCTACAGCCAAATACTTTCAAGGCAATATGTATCCTATTCATATATGTCTCGAACCTTATCGAGCATGCAACGATGGACACATCTGGAAAGGCAGCCATACTCACATTTTCACTGTTTTTATTGGTGATAATGGTTCTGCACTAATCAGTTTTGGAAAACATTTAAGGTTATGTATAGTATTTTGGTTTTTGGAAAACCAAACCAACCCAAACCGAATTTCATCAGTTTGGATAATCGCTTTTTAATTCTTTAGGTAATAACTTATTAAATAGTATTTTCAGTTATACTAATATTATTATAAAATTATTTATTTTTATATTATAAAAATTATAAACTATACATAAAAAATAGAATTTGGTAACGTTAAAATAGTTGCTAGTTTTCTAACTTGTGAACCAAAAGTCGAACCAAATCGAATGCGCCTAGTTGATAGCTGAACAGAAATCAATCAGAATTTAATAAAAAACTGAACCCAAACTTAACTGAACATTAAGATTCAAATCAGTTTTTCATTTTCTCAAATTTATTGCTCAACTGTACTTATGTGAAATAGATCAGTCTCTTGTTTTCAAGAAAGCAAAAGTCATTACCTGTCTCTGCCTTCGGCGCTGCATTATGCTGATGGCCCAGGCCATTATATAACATGGGAGGAGAAAGCCGGCAGCACGAAGCAGGAAAAGCTGAGTAGCTTTAAAAGATTGAATTAAAATACAAAAGAACAAAAATCACTAAACAATTAATGGAAATCCATCCCATGCTTACGGAGAAAAATATATATGCATCATCATCCTCATCTCCATTGGTTAGGTACAAAGCATGCCTCAAGAGTAGAAGAGCCATTAGCTGCAAATTAACAGAGAGATCTAAGCAGAACTTAACAGCAACTCCAATTATCGATAAGGTAGCGAGTAAGGACTACAGGGAACAGGAAAAACATTTCATCTTATAAGGTAGAGAGTATGGGGGTACAATCCTCCAAATACCCTCTAAATCCAAAGAAAACTATTAAAAAAAGTGATCATTCCTGAGACAGACACAATGTCATATCAGACACTAATATCCAAATTGGAGTAATATAGGTTTCATCAAACTGAACCAAAAGTGAGATTCTGCAGCGGAGCCATTGATTATTTTCAATTAACATATACTAGAAAGTGAATAAACCCGTAAAATTAGGGCAGCAGAGCGGCAAAATGCAGCTCCACTAGCATTGGTATCAGCATATTCATCATAATCTGCCTCTGGAAGATGAGAATGCAGTTACTTCTCAAAGAACAGGATCTTTTTTTTTCTTGAGAAAAGAGAAGCGACGACGTTCTGCAGCTGCCATTGCTAATATTCGAGGGTCATGCAAATCCAAAGGAGCCCCGGAGAGTGTCCAACCCTCACTGTATAAATATAAAAATAGGAAAAGAAGATATCAAAGACGATGAGCATACAATAAAACCACGGTCATCAGATAGATCTTCACAAACAGAAGACTATTGGAAATATCAAAGTTAAAGCAACACTGATTTTTATCATATCTTGCAAAACAAAAGGGCACACTGGTGACACTTGCCTGATATCAATTGTAGCATCCTCCAACTGTGGTGGAGGTGGTGGCGCAGTATATCCTGGTTGGTATGGCTGCAAATGAAATATTTTTAACATGAAAAGTTAATATACTAGCTCCATAATTCAACTCACACTAAACCTATTTCAGTTACTGAAAAGCATTTATTTTTTTTTGGATAAATCGAAATTTTATTATCCAAGAAAGCTAAGTACCTATAAAAAATCACCGATCACAGAAAACAGAAAGAAAATACAGACCAAATAAAAATCGATCGGTTTTAGTCAATACCCCAAGCAATACAAAGATTTGAGTTTACATCATCAAACCTATTAATATTTTTACCCCTTAGTTTTATACCTACAAAGTCTTTGATTGTGCGGAGTAATTCTTCAATGCTTCGAGAACATCCTTTGAAGATTCTTCGATTGCGTTTCTCCCACAAAACATAGATTGTGGCGTTCCACGCTAATTTGAGGATAGTGATTAACAAGGATTTACCTTTCCAATATTTACTTGCCCATGTAATCAAGTCCTCCCGAGATAATACAGTCTTGTAAATTCCATTGAGGTGAAAGATCTGGTCTCGTAATTGAGAAGCAGTCTGGCATTCGAAGAACAGATGATTTCTGTTTTCCAATGACTCGTTGCATAAAACATAGCTTTCATTAGAAACAATACCTATGCGGTGAAGTCGATCTCTAGTAGGCAGTCTATCGATCATTGCCATCCAGGCAATGAGGCTGTGTTTAGGAATGTTCTGTGGGAACCAAATAATAGATTGCCAAGGAACTTTATCCCCCTTCGTTCTAATCTATTTCCATATTTGTCTTATCGATAGAGCTTCATTTGGAAGGATTACTTGAGCGTCGGCTCGCAGTTTAAGTAATTTATTGAAACTCCAGCTTAATGTTGAACCTGTTTCCGTTTACCAAAAGTCCTTGCCCTTTAGTAACTATGTTAGAAGTCCGAAAATAAAGTTAATGAAACATAGTTAATATATCAATCTTCCAAGCCCACAAATAAACACAGAAAGAAATGTATGGATTTGTGACTACACTTTTCTATAATTTGAATACATGCAACATCAAAATAAGCAAAGCTTGAGCATAACCCCCAATTTATTATCAGGCTAAAGTTGACTTTGAAGCAAGGACTGAAAAACCAAAGTTGAGGTTGAATACGTTGGATCTCAAGTTTCCAATTCAACCAGTCAAGCGAAAATAAATAAACGAATATTAATAAATAATTAAGAAAAAAATCAAAAATATAAAAATTCGAAAAAAATACAAAAGAATCAGAAAATTTTAAGAAAAACTATTAAAAACAAAAGATGAAAGTGAACTAGTTTCATACTCATCATCATTAGTATTATTCCCAAAATTAATAGAAATAAGGTCCAATTTTACCGGCTCCGGCTGATTCGTTAGTTTTCTTGTTCAGCCTATATGGTGAACAATTTAATTTAGAGAAAATAACCTCAGTGGCCAAAAATGCCTTATAATATACGAATTTAACCAACTTTTTTTGGATTTGCCAAAATGACCAACAAATCGCAACGCGAATTCCAATTTCGCAACCCAGTTTCCAATTTCGCAACGCGAATATGTAAATCGCATTGCGATTTTCCAAATTCGCATTGCGATATTCCAAATTCACAACGCGAAAGTCAAATTCGTAACGCGAAAGTCAAATGTTTTTACGCGAAACACAATATTAATTTCGCAACACAAATGTAAACAGTGTTATCGCAAATAATCTCTAACCTAAAACCCTAAAGCACAACTCAGTCCATCTCCATCTCTCACTCTCTACGGCGACATCCGTCCCCATCTCCGACGAAATCCATCCCCATTTCCGACGAAATCCGTCTATCTCCATCTCTCATATCAACCCTCACAACCATTCACGGTCAGAAATGGAAAATCAACCACCGAGGGTTAGTTTTTTTAATCTCTTATTTTTATTTTGAAATTTTTGTATTATTATTAGATTAATCATTTCACTGAGATTGCTAAATTCATTCGGTTGCTGCCAATACTACTAAACTGTTTAGTCTTTAACCCTGTGAAGTTAGTATTTGTCTTTGTTTTGTCTTTTTGTTGAAGAAACCCTAAATCGCAACACCAAATTCGCAACGCGAAAAATGAAAATCGCAACGCGAAACTAAAATCGCGTTGCGATTTTCATTTTCGCGTTGCGAATTTAAGTTTCAGAAACTTCTTTTATTCGCCAAATTAAAACTTGAATGAATTCTATTACTTCAACCAAAAAACAAAGACAAATACTAACTTCACAGTGTTGCTAATTTAAGTTTCAAGAATAAACTACTACTCTTTATGTTATCCTTGAACCTGCACTAAACCTATATGTTGTCCTTTTAAATGTTTATATAAGTGCTTACTTCTGGAATGTTATCTGATGCATTTTGTGAACTATGATGGAATAATTACTTGGGTGAATATCGTGCTAGTTTGAAACATATTTGGCTTTGTTTTCACTGTTTAATATCATGTCTGTTTGTAGTGTATAATTTGTAGTTTTTGGTATATCTAACTTGGTATGTTTATTGTTTTTGTAGAAATTTTTTTCGGCTCAATTGACCTTAAGGAATAAATTAAGCATAGCCACTAAAATTGCGTCGACGCTTACACCTCTACAAATAAAATTGTTTGAGGATACTTGCTTCGGGCCATGGCTGAAAGTACAACATCCGGGTGGAGATGCTATGTTGACACATTTGTTTCTTCAGACCATGACTAACGATCTACCCGAGGGGGTACAACGTGGTGATGAAGAGATATGGTTTCATTTTCCTCCGGCACCGGCGTATACTTGTTTTGGGTGGGAGGAGTTTTTCTTAATCACCGGTCTACGCTTCGGACACGATGATGTAGGTCAGTACACTAGTCATATCGCCCGCCCATTATAGTTATATCGGGTTTTTCCTGAGCTGGCAAAGTCGAAGCCGAGTATACATGTCGACGACTTGAAGAGATTATTTGATAAAGATGGTTTTACTCCGATGAATAACCATGATGTTGTCTGAGTATGTCATTTACTACTTTTGCATGCCGGCTTTTTAGGCAAAGAGGACAAACAACCAATCTCCGAGGACCTAAATGCATGGAACCTGTTTCTGTGGGGTTCATATATATGGAAAGCTACATGGAAGAAGTTGTCGTCTGCCTTCGAGGACCGAAAAAGTTTGCGGGGCGATGGTTCTAAATACCCTTTGACAGGCTTTACTTGGGCTTTTAAGGTAAGAATTTCTATATAATATTTCCAAAATTATAATTAATTATTTAATAATTACTAATGTTTGTGTATTATATTGTTTGTAGATTTGGATATTTGAGGCTTTCCCCATCATGCGAACATATGAGATAAAAAGATCAAATGATATTCCTAGGGCTATTACCTGGAAGAGGAAACACATGTTGGATTGGGAAGACTTACTCCCATATAAGACGATTAATGATGTAAGTTAACACACAAATACTACCATATATAAACAAGTTATTACTAGTACACATTTAACTTTGATTGAGCTTTTATATTGTTAGGAGGCCAACTACCCATTACAGAGGCTGATACCCTCAGATACTGAGCTTGCCACTGATTGGTGGCAAGCTAGTACGCGATTTTTTGATGGGACGGATGATGAGCACCCCCCACTTCGAGAGCCATCACCTCATCGGGCCGATTCTATAGCTCGACACCCGGAGCCATCACCTGATCGAGCCTCTTCTCCACCTCCACCATCACCTATTCCATCACATCATCGAGCCTCTTCTCCACCATCACCTCATGATAGGCGACCGACAAAGAGGCTCCGTCTATCTCCATATCCCTGTTATCCACCTCCACGGGATGAGTTAGGGGAATTACGTGATGAGGTCGGTGTTTTGCGTTATGAGGTCGGTACTTTACGTGAAGATAATGGTGTATGGCGTGATGAGGTTCGATCTTTACGTGGTGAGGTGGATTTTTTATGCAATGACAATGGTGCGCTATGCGGTGAGGTATCTACCTTATGTGATGAGGTTGCCGCTCTACGCGAGATTGTTTCATTGTTGCAGAATGAGGTTAATACTCTACGCAATGAGGTAAATTTGTTTAATACTATACTAAAAATGCAAATAACTTTTTTTCGGCATTATTTATTTATTTATTTACTGATTTATATATTAATTTATTTTCAGCGGCCCGTTAAGGTAGATGCTTTACGTCGGGTTTTTCTTGCACGACAGGTTTCACGCATCAGACATTGTGCACGTGCCATTACATCTCCGTTCACCCCACTAGTGCCAAGACTTCGTAAGAATAAGCCTGATGCACCTATCATCATTCAAGAGGCGCCTCCTATCGTTCAAGAGGCCTATAATATCTTCGAAGAAGCCCTTCCCACCGTTCAAGAGGTTACTGTCATCATTCAAGTGGTCCCACCCGTCGTTCAAGAGCCCGATTCATTTGGCGTCATATGTCGACATATTGATAAACCACCTCCCGTGCCTGATATGATGGATGCGTGTTGGCTTTCGTATGAGTTACCGGCCAGTACCATTCCTCAGCAGGAGATGGAAACACTACCGGACACAATTACAGATAATACCCTTTGGGCTAAGACCGCAGTTGATTTTTATCTACATGAGCGGAGCAAGGGGTGTTATTCTGACCTATGCCAAATCGACGATGCTATTCATCTGTTTCTTGATCGGTCTTGGTGGGGTATTTATTAGGGGTTGAAGATAATGGCTACCTCGAAGGGGGTAAGTATTATATTCTTCTTATATTGCATTTTGATTAATTTTTTTAAAATTATTAATAAATTCACTAATATATTTATTTTTTTATAAAACAACATATTGATGCATGGGTGTCACGTCTTCTAATAATAAGGAAATTGAAGAAAAGAGGTATTCGATGGACTATTATGTCGACGTCTTTTCACGCAGCTCACTTGAAGGATCAGAGAGATGCTTCATATAAGTTGGCTAATGGAAAAGCTAAACTTTATCCTGCGTGGTGGGAGGTCGATAAGGTTAGTATTTATTTTTTGAATATTTTAAAGGTTTTCATAAATTTTATTTGATGTGCGCAATTATTTATGATTGTAGGTGTTTATCCCTATTTTGGAAAA